CGGTTGCATTTAGCCTTCCTGGCACTAAGTTTGCGGTTTGGTATCCTACAACTGCAACCTCTCCTGACGCAAGAAACTGAGACGAAACTGAGGGAACACTGAGGGGGACAGCGGCGCCCCTTTGTCAACTTCTCCCTTCGCCCCCTCCTTTCCCATCTTCTTCCGCCGTCCTTCCTCGCTGCTCTGTTTCCCTCATGTGCCTTCCTCCCCCCTCCCTTATCCTTGTCCTGTTCCTGCTGTTGTTGCTCTTCCTCCTCCCCTCGTGCTTCGGGGCGTCAGGCTTTCCGGGGTCGTGACCTCATGGTGATGCTGGTGATGATGATGATGCTGATGATGATGATGATGCTGACGATGATGATGACGATGCGTATGACGATGAGGAAAGGAGGAGGGTTGTGACGGACGGCGGGGATGAACAACATGATGGGTTGAGGACAACGAGGAGGAGGAAGAGGAGGAGGAGGAGGAGCAGGAGGATGGTGGTGGTGGTGATTGTGAGGGGGATGAGGAGGAGGAGGAGGAGGAGGAGGAGGAGGAGGAGGAGGAGGAGGAGGAGGAGGAGGAGGAGGAGGAGGACGAGGAGGAGGAGGAGGGGGAGGAAAAGGAGGAGGAGGAGGAGGGAGGAGGAGGAGGAAGAGGAGGAGGAGGAGGAGGAGAGCCGTCACATGTGACACCTTTCGTCTTCACTTCTCGAGGAGCCTTCAGGGACCTCATTTGGGCCGTCTTGGTGCTGTCCTGGGCTTCTGTGGGGCAGTCTGGGGGGAACCTTGGGGCCCCCTTGGGCCGACTTGTCGGGGGATCCTCTTAGGCCGTCTTGGGTCCCTCCGGAGACCCTTTTGGGTCAGCTTGAAACCATCCTGGATCCGTCCTGGTCTGTCCAGGGGCCCTCGTGGGCTGGTGGGTTGTCTTCAGGCTGTCTTGGAGGCCCCTTGGGCTATCTTGAGGATATCTTGGGTCGTCGTGGGGCCATCTTGGAGGCGTCCTGGGCCGTCTTGAGCCGACGGAAGCCCGAAAAGGGGAGAATGCGAAAATCCATCAAAACCCTTCGTGAAATTATTTTGGCCTTCAGGCCTTGCTGGAGGTTCTCTTGGAGCCCTCTTGGGCCGTCTTGAGAGCCTCTTGGGCAGTCCTGAGGCCATCTTGGGCCATCTCGGGCCCTCGTGGAGGCATCTTGGACCATCAATCATGGCGGCCTTTGGAGCTTGCCTGGGCCGTCTTGGAAGCCATCTTGGGCATTGTCGACGCCTTGGAGACCACCAGGGAGCTGTCTGACAGCACAGGGAACCTCGGAAGGGGGGAGATGCACACGACTGGATGCTGCGAGAGGGGGGGGGGTCGCTCAGAAGATTACGGAACCCCTGCCACACAGCATTTCGTATGACATGATGATGAGGAGGAGCATCAGCAGCACTATTGGGAATGTGATGAAGAGGACGGTGATGATGACGACGACGAAGATAACGAGTTGGCAGGACGACGAAGACGACGGCGATGGCGACGATGATGTTCATGATGACGATGATGACGATTGCGACGATGGGGACGATACCGACGTTGACGATACCGATAATGATGATGCCGATGATTGCGATGCTGATGATGATGACGGCGACGCTGGTGACGATGACTATGACGATGGTGATGACGACGACGGCGACGATGATGATGACAATCATGGCGATGACGACGATGGCGATGATACCGATGGCGGTGCTGATGGTGATGATTCCCATGATGGTGATGATGATGCTGACAATGCCGACGACGATGTTGACGACGACCACGGTGACGGTCAAGATGATGGTGATGGTGTTGTTGACGATTACGACGATGCTGCTGACGACGATGACGATGACGATGATAGGGGAAACTCTGAATAACAAGTAACGTTCTTTCAACATTTCTTCTTTGAGGTTTTCCACGAGGAGGCGGAGGAGCAGGAAGCGGAGGAACAAGAGTAGGAGGAGGAGGAGGAGGACGCGGGTGATGGTAACTAGGATGACGAAGATGAGTTGGCAGGACGAGCCCGACCTGGAGGCGAGGATCGAGGACCGAGGTTCCAGGTTCGAATGCCTGCACTCCGATTCAGACTGATTGCGTCATGCCTTAACTCGGGTAGCTGAGGGAGTCTGAGGGTAACTAGGTGTAACTAGGTGTATCTAGGTGTAACTAGGTGTAACTGGGCGTAACTAGGTGTAACTAGGTGTAACTAGGTGTACTTAGGTGTAACTAGGTGTAACTAGGTGCAGCTAGGTGTAGCTAGGTGTAACTAGGTGTAGCCAGAAGCGCTCTCTTGGCGTTTGCTGCGACGCTCGTTGCCGGAACACTGGTTGCATTATGCTGGTCTGTCATGCGTTCAGTATTGTTGGCCCTGTGGGCTCCGGGTAGTATCGTTAAACATAATTAAACTCCATACCCTAATGATACAGTGATTTTTTTACGCTTCGCGTATCCGCACCAATTGTTTTAATTATCTGCAGGTCCACTCTGCGCGTTGTCGCGCCAACTGCAGGTCCACTCTGCGCGTTGTCGCGCCAATTATTTGTCGCTGTGCCCCAGCCTCGGTCACACCGCCCTCTGGACTTCTCCTTGCGGGCCGCGAATCAAAAAAGTGTCAGCACCAATGGCCAATTTACATCGTACCGCGCCCCGGACGTTGTGCCCGCTCCCTGGGCTGCTCCTTGGAGCCGCAAGCCAAAAAGTATCCGCACCAACTGATTCAGTCCGCTGCTCGTTTGCTGCGTTTCGACTTGACGCCGAGCAATTGGTCGCTACGGTCGCGATCAATAAAGTGTCCGCACCATCCGTCCGTAGCTTTTTGGCCCAGGCCGTCTCCTGGTGGTGTTCCCCCCCATTTGGGGTCAGGGCTCGAGGGAGCGCCCAGGCGCTGCGCGCGGGCGGCCCGCGCCTCCCTGCGCGCGGGCGGGCCGCGCCATACTCGCCCCGAGCCGCTTGCCTGGCGTCCTCTCCGCATCCTTCCGTCCCTGCCTTGGACGACCTGGGGATGGAGGATGAAGCAGACGGATCGCGTGCCAGCGCCCTGGGGACCGATGTCGTGGACGAATGTGAAGGGTTAGTGCGGGGCTTGGGAGCCCTTGCGCTGCCCGCGGACAATCGGAACCTCGGACCCCTCGGGAACGCATGCGATCGCTAGGGAGCGAACCCAGGTGGCGGGCACGTCTCGGCAATCAGCGCTCCCTGTGTGTGGAGGATCGGGCAGTTGATCGTGCTGATCGCGACCACCCAGGGGAAGCGGCGGATCCGCCGTCACAGACGCGAGACGACGGAGGCCGCGGCCATCCAGATAGAGCGGTCGACAGCCGCGCGCCAGGAGGCAATGACGCCCCCTCCTCTCCCCGCTTATTTTCGATGCATTTGCGGCGATCAGCCGCCAGCCTGGAGAAGACCGTTTACCAGATGCAGTTGTGATGACTAGTCGCACAGCCAGCTATTGGAGCCATCCTGGAAGACATCGATCAACGTAGAGGGGAGCTTAAATTAGGCCACCCCCCCCGGGAGCCCAACGCATCGCCTCCTGGGGCGCTCTTGGAGCGCTACTGAAGCGCTCCCGGGCGCTCTCGGGGCCGTCATGGATGCCTCTTGCGTAATCCTGGAGCCCTCCTGAGGCCGTCATGGACCCCTGTTGGAGCCCTCTTGGGTAATCTTGGAGCCATCCTGAGGCTTCGGAAGGCCATCGGGAGCGAAAAGACGAGACAGCAAAAACGTGGATTCCCGTAGGTTTCGGAAGGATTTTCGCAAATTGGCGGCCTCCGGGGGAGACTCCGTGGCCACCTGGAGCCGTCTTGGAGCATTCTTGGGGCCTCTTGGAGCATTTTTGCAGTCAGCTTGAGGCTTCTTGTGCTATCTGGACCCATCTTGGAGGTCATCTTGGCCTCTCTGAGGCCATCTTGGAGCCGTCTTGGGCCATCTTGGACGCTCCATCTCCTCGCGGGGCGTCCCGTCCAGATCCAGGGGAGGAGGTATGGGGGAGGGATAAAACCCCCGCCCGAATGGGTAGAACGAGCTGTAGACCACCTACGCCCAGAGGGCTGGTGGGAATCGTGGCCAAACTTAGGTCGCCGTTTTCGACGGGTATCCCGAAGTATATGGGTGGTTTCGTCTAATCCACCTGCAACTCCTAACTTAGGTCCTTCCCAAAAGGCTTGGGGGTAATTGTAGTGCTTATCATAGTATTCGCATGTGGCACGTGCGCTCTTGCTTTCAGGCCAAGGTTCATTGCAGGAGTTTGCCTACCGCAGGTCGGCTCGTGTGAGGTTCCTGGTTTGCTTTGCGCTGTCTTGATTCATGCAACTCATCGCCGATCTACGAGGGACGACAACATAATACTGTCATGCCATGACATACTATTCGGCCTTATGCGAAGCAACATCACGTGACTGGAACACACGTAATCGTGTGGATGCGGCTTGGTTCGTCACAAAAGGCTATGACATGAGCTTGCAAAATACATTCGGCATTGCGGCCGCAGTTAGGGTGCCATCGCATTGGACCACGAGCTTGCTACCATGCTGGCCATTACGTGGCACATGCTCACGCAGAGCACCGACTCGCTTGAGCACTTCCTCTCAGGCGAGGCGGCCCAGTGCTCAGAGCATGTGCGTCCTTTCTGTTGGACTTGAGATCACCAAACGCGGCTTTTGCGTCTGAGCATCCGGCGCGTCCGGAGCGCGATCCGGACGCGACTGTGCGTCTGGTTCCGGGGAGCGTCTGGTCACCCCCCAGACGTTCCCCAGACCCCCCAGGACGCTTCGGGAGCGTAAGAGAGCGGGAGAGGGGTGTGGGAGGGAGTGCGTGGGGACCCCGTTGTCCTGCGCGCGGCGCACACCCGCAGGCGATAGAGGAGGACCTGAAGGACCTGGTCACCCCCCAGACGTTCCCCAGACCCCCCAGGACGCTTCGGGAGCGTAAGAGAGCGGGAGAGGGGTGTGGGAGGGAGTGCGTGGGGACCCCGTTGTCCTGCGCGCGGCGCACACCCGCAGGCGATAGAGGAGGACCTGAAGGACCTGAACAACATCCCCTGTTTCGGACGGCCGCATGACCGGCCAGTGGAAGGGGAGGGAGGGAGGGAGAAGGAAGAGGGGGAGGAGGAGGAGGAGGAGGAGGAGGAGGGATGGAGGGAGGAGGGAGGGAGGGAGGAGAAGGGAAGGGTACGAGGAGGTTGAGCAGGATGGGGATGGAGGAGGAGGAGGAGGAACTGGAGGAGGGAGGAGGAGGAAGGAGGGAGGATGAGGAGGAGGAGGGAGGAGGAGGAGGAGAGGGAGGAGGAGGAAGAGGAGGAGGAGGAGTAGGATGACGATGATGATCATGATGACGACGACGATCATGATGATGCTGCTGCTGATGATGCTGATTCTGATGATGATTATGATGATGATGGTGTTGAGTTTGAGCAGAAGGAGGATGATGATGCTCATGATAATGCTCATGATGATGATGATTATGCTGATGCTGATGCTGTCCATGATGCTCATACTGCTGATGATGATGCTGATGATGATGACGATGATGGGGATGAGGATGATGACGATGAGGATGATGATGGTGATGATGATGCTGATGATGATAATGATGATGATGATGATGATACTGATGATGTTGGTGATGATGTTGGTGATGATGGTGACGTTTATGCTGCTGATGAAGATGATGCTGCTGATGATGATGGGGATGCTGCTGCTACTGATGATGATGATGAGGATGATAATGCTGTGTTGGTCGGGGCGATGACGATGTGGATGACGACGATGATGATGACGACGATGCTGATACTGAATATGATGATGATGACGATGATGATGACGACGATGATGACGATGATGGTGGTGACGATATTGTGATGATGGTAGTGGTGGTGATGGTGACGGTGACGGTAATGATGACAATGACGATGATGATGAGGAGGAGGAGGGGGCGGAAGAGGACGACGATGACGACGATGACGACGACGACTCTCATGATGATGCTGCTGATGATGATGATGATGATGATGATTATGATGGTGGTGATGATGATGAGCATGATGATGATGATAGCACTCATAATAATAACGACGATGGCGATGACGATGACCATGACGATGACGAGGTCGATGACGATGACGATGATGATGATGATGCTGATGATGCTGATGCTGTTTCTGCTGCGTCTGATGATGATGCTGATGATGATGGTGATGATGATGATGATGATGATGATGATGATGATGATGATCGTGGTGGTGAGGATGCTGACTACAAGGATAATCCGTAAGGGCTTTGCCCCCTGCCGCCGGCCCCCTTTCTCGGATAACGGGCAATGCAGGAGCGAAATCATGAGGCCTTGGCGCCGCCGTGAAGCAGTGTCGGAACTTCACGCGAAGACGATGAGTAATCGGCAAGACAAATTGAGATTCTGATGATATTGTTGAATTCGGTATTGTATTTCAAGGGTTTATGGCTTCGGATACGCGAGTAGCGCGTAATTTACGAGGGTTGATGGCTTCGGGCTCGCAAATATAGTGCAATTTACGCAGGTTTATGGCTTCGGAGACGCGAATATTGTATAATTAATATGGGTGTATGGCTTCGGACACGCGATTATTATGTAATTTACAAAGGTTTATGGCTTCGGGGTCGCAAACATTGTGTGATTTACGCAGGTTTATGGCTCCTGAGATGCGAATATTGTATAATTTACTAAGGTTTATGGCTTTGGGGACGCGAGTAGCGCGTAATTCACAAGCGTTTGTGGCATCGGGGACGCAAGCATTGTGTAATTTATAAGGTTTATGGTTTGGGGACACGAACATGGCGTATATAGGAAGGGTTTATAGCTTCGGGGACGCGAATCTGGTGTAATTCGCGAGAATCTATGGCCTCGGGGACGCGAATATGGTGTAATTGACGAGGGTTTATGGCTTCGGGGGCGCGAAAGTATTTCTACCTATCCCACGCCCCCCCCAGGAATTCAGAGCACCCGATTCAGGCGTGGTAACTAGGTTCCTTCTCGGCTCCCCCCCCTCGCGCGGTCCATCAACAAGGAACATGAAGCAGCAAGAAGCAGAACTGTAACAGTGGAAACTGGAAACTGGAACTGGCGCAGGGAACAGCAAACCTTCGTCCTACAGCCTGATGGTCCCACATGGGGGCCGGCGGATTTTGACGAAGGTGGTGATTATGGTATGATGATGATGACGATGAGGATGCGGACGATTATGATGGTGATGATGGGGGTGATGAGAAGGAGGAGGAGGAGGAGGAAGAGGAGGAGCAGCAGGAGGAGGAGGAGGAAGATCAATTGGAGAAGGGGAGGTGAGGATAGGGAGAGCAGATAAGGAGACGAAGGTGAGTAACTCTTTGATCTCCCTCTTCCCCCCGCTCCTCCGTTCCTCCGTTCCTCCTCTCGCTTGCAGACGACGCTGGAGTTCGCGTCATCGCAACAGGCACTGCACATCAGCGAGAAGAGGCCATTGCTGAAAAGATGTACGACGGCGGCATCCGCAAGCTATTGCATGTGCGTTTTTAGCAGTTCTCAGAAACACATGCGGTGTCGCGCGGGAGCTGCGTCTCCTCGAAGAGCGAGCCTGAAATCATGCGAAAAGCTGTACGGCATTGCAGACTCAGAAGCACGTTTCTGGGTCGGCCAATTCCAGCCAGATGGCGCCCGCTAGTCTATCCGGCTCGATCGGGTCCATCGTCCAGATGAACAGCTCTTCTGCGTCGCGTCACCAGGCGTGGCGCCAGGGCTTCCCGTGCGCTCTGCTTGAGGCTTCTCCACCATTGAGGCTCCTGGATCATGGACGCTTCAACACGTACATGGCTTGTGGGCGGCTACTTTTCAACATGTGGCCTTCGCTTTACCGCCGCGTGCATTTGTCTTATGATATTCTCCAGGAGCTGCACGGACGAAGCGCGGCTGGCTCTCAAACGGTGGCTCTCGCCTTGGCGCCCCGCACCTTCGTTGCCCACGTTTCCCGAGGTTGATTGCGTGGAGGGCGCTTCTTTTTCAAAGTCGCTTGAGGCGTGCTCGGACTGCCCCACGCCGAGTTCACATTTGTACAGCATTTGTACCAGTGGACTGCGCTTCTGTGTCAAAGTGGGGCTCTCGCTCGATGCATTTCCAGGGGTCTGCCGCCGGGCGGTTGAGACGGGTGGCAGTTTCATGGGCAAGTCTCGACCCCTTTTCGAAATGGTGGTCTCGGCAGATATATGCCTTTGAACGATATGACCCTACTTCTTGGAATTTCGTACAGCTGGGAGGATGGATGTTGGCTCCTTGTCAGAGCGGGGCTCTCGCCTGAACGGCAAGCCCCTTGAGCGCCAGTCTTTCCAAGGCGGCGCATCCAGCAGTGACGCTGTACGCTTGTAAGGGCTTATGGGAAGGGGACTTGGGACGAGAGGGCGGATTTATTGCAGTATCGTTGAAGCATCCTGGGTTAATTGGGGTCCTCCTCCTCCCACTCCTTTCCCGAGGGTGTTAATCAGGTAGATGCAGGCGACAATGATCATGCTCAGGCTGAGGATGAGACGGATAATTAGGAGGCGGAGGAGAATGGGCTGGTGGGGTGCACGAACACGTACATTGGCCTGCAAGCTAGAATAACAGGCAGGCGAGCTCAGGTTTGGAAGATCCAGGGGAAGGACCAAGACTTCGTGTCAAGTAGCGACCTCGGGAGGAGAGAGGCTTGGTAATCACAGTGAGGCCGACGGACTGCGAGCAATCTTTCAGTGAGCCGACGGACTGCGAGCAATCCTGCAATGAGCCCACGCCCCAGGGTGGCTCGACGGGACTGGAGGCCACGGCTTGGGCGAGCGGCTCCCGAAGAGTCTGGCGAGAGCGCGCTCGCCAGGAGCGAGGGCCGCCTCGGCCTTCACGGCCGCGAAGGCGGGAGACGGCTCTTTCGGGCCCTGCGCTCCTCGCTCATCGATCTCTCTCCTCGCTCCTTCCCTCCTCCCTCCCCCGTCTCCTCTCCTCTCCTCCCCCTCCCTCTCCTCCCCCTCCCCCTCCCTGATTCCCCATGCCTCTCCTCCTCTCCCTCTCCTCCTCTCTCATTCCCCATGCCCTCCTCTCCCTCTCCGCCTCTCCTCCTCTCCCCCTCTCTTGTTCCCCATGCCTCTCCTCCCTGCTCTAGGCGCCGCAGCGCCGCAGGTCTCACAGGCCCCACAGGCCGCAGAGGCCCCCCAGGTCGCACAGGTCCCACCAGCTGCTTTTTCCCGACTGCTCATCACACGATGGGGTCTGTGGAGTTCCAGGTCGGTTATGCCTCACGTCCCCGGATATAGGGAAACATCAGCGCAATAGAAAGGGATGTGAGGGCGGGATTTGACGCCAGATAGGGCGCGAGCGCGCCTAGCTTGTCTCTCCTCCCCTCTCCCCTCTCTCCGTACCCTCCCCCTCTCCGTCCCCCTTCTCCCTCTTCAGCCTTTCGATTCCCTTGCCACGTCTTGGATGGGGGAGGGTAAAGCCGACCGAGCTCTCGGACGGAGCCCGAGGGGAGCCCCCGTGGGTCTGAGGCATTGGGCTACTAGGGGTGTCTCTCTCCGTCTCTCTTGCTCTCCCCTGTTCTGTTTTCTCTCTCGGCATGAATTCCGAAGCCCCTCTCTACTCTGCTCAATGTGACCCTTGGCGCGTCTCGCCTCCATGCGCCGTGAGCGCCCTGCCGCGTCCGTCGGCGCCCCCCCTCCGCCCCGAGCAGGGAGCACAGGGAGTTGGTAACAGACTGCGCGGGCACGCCGGTCTGGGGCGAGCACGTCAGGGCAAGGCGTCGGCCTGCCAGCAGGATATCCTTTGGGGTCGGGCGGGCGGGCCCTGACTGACAGCGCGGGCGGGTGGCCCACCGGGCGGGTCGGTCGGGCGGGGCATGACGGCGGGCCGGCAGGCCTTCAAGCAGGCGAGCGGGCAGACCGAGCGGGCGCGCCAGGCTGGCGGATCCTTACGAGCGGGTCAGGCGGGCAGGCCAGGTCGGGCGGGTGGTCGCCGTGCCCGAACAGGCAGGTCAGGCGGGCGGGCCCCTAACTGTCCAGGTCGCCAACGTTTTTTTTGGATTTGTCAGATGGCCCCAGGGGCCTAGGTGAGCTCTGGGGGCGCCAGGAATTCGGAGATCGACGGAAGTGGTGCCTTCCAGCTCCTCGCAGCGGTATGTCTGACCGTGCGCACCTGCCGTAGCCTTTTGCCAGCACCGTCCTCTGACGCCCGCCCTCGCCCGCACTCGATCGTCTTGGCAGGGAGGCGCAGCTTCTCATGCTCGGCGCTTGGTTGAAGGAGTCGCTTTTCTGGCTACCGGATCCCTGTGTGGCGCTGACGAGCAACAGAAAGCACAGACAAGGGGGAATGATGATCAGGATGAGGATGATGATGAGGAGGATGAGGAGGAGGAGGAAGAAGGTGAACAGGAGGAGGAGGGGGAGGAGGAGGAGGAAGAGGAGCCTGCCTGCGAGGCTTCTTCCGAGAGCGGCTCGCAGGGGCAAGGGAGACGGAGGGAGGCCTCCACCTCTCCATTCAAGGGGGGGGGCAGGGAGAAGGGCTCTCCCGGGGAGGGGGCACCCTCTTTGGCACCCAGGGCGGTGCGACGGGTGCCGGCCTCATGTGAAATTTTATGGTGTGGGCCGGCCTCCCGCGCCTGGGCGGGCACGAGCCCGCTTCAGCCCGGGGCAGGAGGGGAGAGTGAGGGAGGGTAGCAATGGTCGTCGCCGTCGTCGTCGTCGTCGTCGTCGTCGTCGTCGTCGTGGTCGTCGTCGTCGTGGTCGTCGTCGTCGTGGTCGTCGTCGTCGTCGTCGTCGTCGTCGTCGTCGTCGTTTGGTCATCTCTGTCTCTCTCTCTCTCTCCCTGTTGCAGCGAGCGGCACGGCACCTCTTGGATCTCTCGGGAGCGCGCGGGGGCCTCACGTTTTCATAAGAGTCCGCGCAGTGCGCGCGTTCATTCCATAGGCTGTTTTTTTTCGTGTGCGATCCTCGTTCGCCATTTTTGTCTGTGCTCGCCCAGGCCTGCGCGATCGCTCTGGTCGGCATCTGGGGACGTTTCTTCTTTCGGGGGCGGAAAAGAGGGGGTGATGAGTAGCAGGGGGTGGATATCATGGCGGGGGCCATGATATTTCCCCAGATGTTATGGCGCCTCTTCTTATTTCATTACGTCCCTGGCCCCCCCGCTGGGCCGCGCACATGCCGCCGGTTATGCTTTGCACCCCCCCCCCTCTTGGACCCCCCCCTCTTGACCGCTCCCGATTCTTCTCGGCCCATCATGTATCCTTGGTAGATATTGATGGTGGGAGAGGAGGAGGGAGAGAAGGAGGAAAAGGAGGAGGAGGAGGAGGAGGAGGAGGAGGAGGAGGAGGAGGAGGAGGAGGATAGCCATGTGGGCACAGGACATCCTTTTTGGCGTGTGTCTTGCCCTTGGCTTAGGCGCCACACCCCTGGCCAGTTTCAGCTGCTTTGCTGGTGACTGGGGTGTGCGCGATCGGACCCAGCCAGTCAGCATTCCGCCTCCCAAGGAGGCTTCTTGGCACAAACGGCAGCGGCAGAAGAGACAACGTGCCAGGGTTCTCCTGGCAGTGCTCAGAGCACAGGAGGTGATCCAGGAGCACCACTCAGCACAGATGTTCGGAACATGGTCATGCCCGTGCGGACGCTACGTGAAGAATCACCAGAGATGCTTGTGCGGATGCCATTTCGACAACCGCCTGCGCCAGGGAGAGCAGCCACAGAGACAGTCACACCTGTCAGCACGGCCGAGGGCCGACGTTGCAAACGAGAGGAGCAGGCCGCCCCAGGCGAGGCGCGACCGCAGTGCAAGCCGCCCCAGTCGACGTGGGCGAGTGGAGCCAGACAAGCAGATCAAGCAATACGTTGCGAAGGTCATTCCCGTGACACGCGCAGAAGCAGTCGAGTACGAATGCTACATCGATCCACCGACGAGCGACCCCGTGCAGCAGAAGCGCTACCAGGACGATACCCGCAGCCGCATGGTGGAATATGCTACTATGGCGCTTGCAGCCAAGCGCGCGGCCGACACTGTCGAGGCGGGGAAGTTGGACACCAAGTTGTCCGTGCTCAAGTGCATGATGGGGTTAACGCAGCCAACAGGGCAGCAGCTGGCTGCCATGAGGCAGAAGAAGGATCAAGCGGTCGAGAAGCTCAAGAATACGCGTGCCAGAGTCAAGATGCTCCAAGAGCAGGAGGACGAGCAGCTCGAGGAGCTGGAGAGGCTCCGCGACTACGTGGCCGAGCTCGAGGAGCAGCGCAAGGAAGAGGAAAGTGGACAGGATACGGCCGGGCCGCCGCCTGGGCGCTTTGCTGCGCCTGTGCATGGTGGACCGCAGTTAGGAGTGAATCCTGGCCAGCCGTCGAACATGTACCAGCAGCACCCGCCGCCACCGCCGCCAGCCGTTCCCAGCCCGATGGAGGTCATTATGCAGCAGATGATGGCAAAGATGGCACAGCAGGATCAGCAGATGCAGTTCATGATGCAGGCGATGGGGTTTACACAAGCGCCGCCGGGGCAGGCGGCGCAGGCAGCGGCAGCGGATGCGACGAGGCAGGCGGAGCAGGAGGCGGCAGCGAGGGCGGCGCAGCAAGCGCACGAGGCTATGTACGGCACGGCGACACCGCGGCCGTCGATGGCGTCCTCGCCCATGCAGCCGCCAGTCGTGCCCGTGTCCTCGCAGCCCCCAGTTGCGCCAGAGCCGATGGTGGTGGACGCGTCGCCGCTGCAGCCGCAGGGGCGATTGGCAAGCCCCAGCTCGCCGCCGCCTGGTCAGCCGACGCCGCCGACGCCGCAGGCGCCAGCGCCCAGGACGCCGATCGTGGGCACCACAGGGGGCTTGAGGTCGCCAGCCGCGCCAGTCAAGCTGCCGTCGCCCGCGGAGAACGCCAGGGAGGTCGACACCACCCCGATCGCCGAGACGCAGCAGGCGGAGCCCGAGCAGGTGGAGCCGCCCGTCTGGCCGACGCCTATCTCACCGACACAGCCGATGGTGAACAGCTCTCAGATCGACGATCCATACGTGGTACCGCCGCAGCACAGCGTGACCTACACGTCGCCGACGGACTCTACGGTGCAGAAGGAGATCCGCAGGCTCGACAAAGAGAAAAGGGACTTGGAATTGTCGTCACCGCCGAAGAAGGAGCCCAGGAATCAGATCGCATCAGTGCCAGAGGCTCGGACGGCAGCAGCCAGGGCCAACGCCCAGCCAGCGGCGCCTGCAGGCGGTGCATGATCGAGGATATCATTGCTGGTGTTGGCGGTGCATGCAGGGATGTTGCGGCACCTACCTGGACGACCAGATCAACGGCCTCAAGCTATAATCATGCACTTTTTTCGCCTCTGCACATTTTTCCTCCTGATGGGGTGTGGCGGGTCAGGTGGGATGGGACCATCTGTGCAGCCAATACCCCCGAGTATGCAACAGCTGGCCATGCGCGTCGAACCTTTGAACGTTCGCCTTCAGGTCAGTCCCAACCTAGGGCCACCATGGCCTACATGCGGGGTAATGATGCATCACATGAGGATTGGATGCATCTTGATTTTAATGACGAAGCCTCCGACACGAGCCTGTTACAGGTGAGCGCATCCCAGCGTGAGCGCGAGTCAGCAGCAGCATCCGCCAGCGCGGAGGACGCAGAGTGGCAGCTATGCGATCCGTGCGTGCCGTATGAGAGTCAGGATGGGTGGCTGGGCGGGTGGAGGCTTGTCGGGGGGGAGGAGAACTCTGACAGTGCAAGTTTTAGCTCTTGTGAGCCAGCTGACTGGGACCTATGTCAGCGGGCTGGCGAGTGCGACATGCACGTGCGCAACAGCTGTTCAGATGTTGGGATCGGCGGTTTTGAGCTTGCAGGCGAGGGGTATACGCCACTTGCGAGCACGCCAGCCAACAATACTATTGCACCCAGCGCAACCTCAGGCACCAATCGCGTATTGGCCCAGCGGTCCGTGTCCTGGGGTGGCGTGGACGTTTTAACGTTTTTTGCGGATGAGCCTGTTGGTGACTGCAGCGTCACAAGCGCTGATGACACAGGTAGGAGCCCGACACCAATGGTCATATGTTTGGATACGCTCATCAGTCCTGCCCATGGCTATGTAAGTTGTGACTTTGCAGGTGCCGATCGGATCGTTCGCCGTATCGTTGCTCAGGCCCCTGTCAGGTTGCTCACCGACATAGGCAATGTCGAACTCAAGTTGGTGTCCGAGTTTGCGCTGGGTGTCGCAGAGCGGTGTGACCGCCCCCTCGGCCCCGTCGCGCTCTATACCGACGGATCCCTCACCAAGGATGAAGGGTCGAGTGGTTGGGCCATGATTGCCACTTGTATGGATGAGGAAGGTGATGTCCGTTTTTTGGGTTTTTTGGCTGGAGGGGTCGTTGCCACGCTTGGATTCAATCTCGAAAGGGAAGTCAGCAGCGTCACAGCTGAGCTTGTTGGCATCGTCTGGGCCCTGGTCTGGACTGTTGCGCAGGCTGAGGTAGGAGGGGACCTGGGGTCTCGGTTTCCTGTTACCATCATGTCTGACTCTCGAGTTGCCATAGATATCACATTGGGTATTAGCGTTGGACACGCCGAGCCCCAGCTTGCTGCCCTTGCCAGGCATCTATATGAGCTTGCACGTGCCAGGGTCCACATAGCGCTGTTGCACATATATGGGCACAATAAGAATTGTTGGAACGAGTTGGCAGACGACATTGCGAAGTCCACACGCACCCTCCAGTATGATTGTGTGGACCCTGCACTCGTGCGCGAGATGTATTTCACCCCGTCTCTGGCTTGGAACTGGATCGCAGAGCTAGGGTCAGTTGAGCGACAACAGTATCCCCTTCACGGGCAATACCAATTTCGTATGCCAGACCATCCGCAGTGTTGTGACGTTGCAGGTGCTGGCACTTTCGTGCAAGCCATCCCCGAGACTTGTGGTCAGTTTGATTGCAGCGAGAGCGTGAAGAAGGCCGTGCTTCGCGACTTCGTGCTTGCCAGTTACAACGCTGAATCCGCTCAGGACCTTGTTCGAGGCGAACGCACGGTGTTTCGAGGGCAGTGGCTTAGGCAGCAGTTTGCAGAGGCGGCAGTGCTGTTGGTCGGCATACAGGAAGCGCGGACCCCCAGAGGCAGTAGGTCGGCTGATGGCTTTTTCTGTTTTTCGACGGGCCCCGAGGGTGGCAAAAATCTTGGTTGTGAGCTTTGGGTCAACGCCGCGGTTCCGTATGCCAAAGTTGGGGGAAGGGACGTCTATCTCAAAGCTGCTCATTGCCTAGTCGTGGAGGCGGAGCCGCGTAGCTTGGTCGTCAAGATCAGCGCCCCGCATTGGAGCACAGTTGTAATGGTCTGTCATGCACCCTGCACGGAGGCGAAGATAGATGTTCGCAAGCGGTGGTGGGACCATGCTAAGAGGACCGTCAGCCGCTTTGGCGTTGATATCATACTAGGAGATGCCAACGCACGCTTGGGAGACAAACAGTCAGAGGTAGTAGGGACTTTCGGAGGCACTTCGGAGGACAGTAATGGGGAGTTTTTCCATGCTTTGTTATGTGAGGCACGATTGGCTGCTGTCACCACCTTGTCTCCTGCGGCCACACCTACATACACATACATGCACCACTCTGGGTCCCAGCATCGCATTGACTACGTCTGTGCTCCGCTATGCTTGGCATGCCATGTCACGGAGCATGGGGTTCTGCACGATATCGATGTCGACCGCAGGCACCAGGACCACTACCCAGTTTATGCTAAGTTTCGGTGGAATGAGCACATCATGGTCGGCAAAAGGGTCCCCGCCATAGATGTGGCCGCCACGCGTGATCCTGTCAAGCGTGAGGCTTTCGAGAAGGATCTCCTGGATTGCCCCCCCTTGCACTGGTCCCTTGATGTGAACCGACACTTTGAATTGCTCACAAGTATGATGTACCAGTGTGCTGTCAACAACTTTGCTCGAGGTAAGAAGGGACCTGTGCGCAGTTATATTCGTGCTGAAACGCTGTGGGCCATCCGCCTTCGGCGCACTGTTCGTGGTGTCTTGCGTGCCTTTCGCAACTGTGATGCCCGTCCGCTGTTGAGCTTTGCCATATCCCTAGTGCAGGCTGACGACGAGCCTGACACTGCTGCGGCCAGGCTTGCATTTCCCGATTTCGACGCATGTGTGGGAGTCCTGAGTTTCGGAGCCAGACTCTGGGTTGAGCAGCTCCAGGGGGTTCAGGAATTTCACGAAACCTGCCTTATGTTTCTTCGGACGTCTCAGCGCATTATTAGGAAAAAGCTGAGGGGGGACCGTGCCGATTTTCTCGTCGAAGGGGCCCAAAAAGTCAACGATGCTATTGCTGCCAGTGATGGCCGGGAGGAATGGGGTTGGATGTCGTGCTTGATGGCTTTTGGAGGCTCTCGTAGCAAAGGCGACAAGGGTGCGCTACCCATGCGATTGGACACCACTGGTGCCCCTTTTGAATCGCGAGAGGCTCTCGCGTATGGGCTGTTGCAGCACTTCGCTGCGGCAGAGAAGGCGTCCATCTGCACTGTGGAAGAGTTGGTCGTTGTCTACAGTGCGCAGCAAAAAGCATTCACATCCGTCGGTGCCAGAGAGTTGTCTAGTTTGCATTCCCTTGATTCCCTGCGTTGCGACCTGCTTCGCGCTTCGCGTAAGAAAGCAGGTGGTCCCGACTTGCTCACAAACGATGTATATTTGGCTGCCCCCGATGTGTGTGCTCGTATGTTGCTCCCTCTGTTGACTAAAGTCCAGCTCACCTGTAGAGAGCCTTTGGCGTGGAAAGGGGGTGTCGCACACGACCTCTTCAAGAAAGGAGACCCCCGCCTGCTTAGCAATTTTCGAGAGATTCTCCTGGGCGTGCATGTGTGCAAGCATCACCATAAGTTTTTGCGGCGTAAGATTGTGGAAGTAGCGTCGGCACTGCTTGATATTGACCAACACGGGGGACGGGCGGGAAGGGGCACAGCTAGTGCGTCATTGCAGGTCAGGGTCTTCCAGGATTTTGCACACTCGAGGGGCTGTTCCACGGTGCTCTACTTTACGGACCTTAAAGCCGCCTTCCATACGGTCATACGTGAATTTTTGGTGCCGTTGCCGTCCGCCGCAAGCGAACTAGAAGACGTCGTGGACGATCTTGCATTACCATTTGCATTGGAGGGGGTGTTGCGCGAGGTTTTGGCTCAACCCACTGTCTTTGAGAGAGTTGGTGACAAGCACCTGCAAGACACGGTGCAGGACGTCAACTCGTGCACCTGGTTCCAAGTGAAGGGAGCAAAGTCGGTGGCGCGTGCAGTCATAGGTGCACGACCGGGCATGCCGCCAGCCGATGTCTTCTTCACTCTTGCGTTTGCTCCTGTCCATGAGAAGCTGAGAGGTAGGTTCTTTGCAGAAGGGATTACGATTGATATTCGGGAGTTGCTGCCAGAATTGCCCATATGCTTTCGCGACAGGGAGCGTGACACTGATTCCGTCGTCGGATCACCGTCTTATGTTGACGACTTGGCGGTATTGCAGATGAGCACGAGCGCACGTGATTGTCCTCGCCTCGCCTCCGTCGTTGTTCGAATTGTGCATGAGGTCATGTCGTCGTCTGGTTTCGTCGTTAACTATGGGGAGGGTAAGTCTACCTTGCTTTTTGGGCTTGAAGGTACGGGGAAAGGTGCAGTGCAGGCTAAGCTTGCAGATATGAAGGGCCAGTTTCAGGTTTCGAGTATAGGCAAATGCGTTTATATGGCCAACGTTTGCAAGCATCTGGGATCCATGATCCACGCGTCGCGTACCATGACGGCGGAGCTTATGCACCGTCACCGCTCTCAGCTAGGCGTTTTGGGTGCTCTTAAGCGTGCTGTGTTTAAGAACAATAACGACTTGGACGTGGCTCATAAGTACAAGTTTGGGGCTGCCTATTGTCACAGTCGGGTCCTGTTCCATTGTGCCGTGTGGTCTGGGCTTTCGTGTGGTAACCAGCGGTTCCTGGAAACTGCCTACTTGGCCTCAATGCGGGCCGCGATGGGGTATAGGCGTCAGGAGGAGGATGATTTGCGTGCCTGGTCCACCCATGAGTTGTACGTTGCCTGCCGCCGATTGCCGCCTCTCGTCGTGATCCAGCTGAGGAGGCTTCGGTTTTTGCCCAAACTCCTGGACTCCGCTTCCCAGGGCCTTTTGCACATGTTGGACGCCTTGATTGAGGCG